AACCCTAAAACCCGAAACGCTAAACCCCCAACTCTCAAAACCTCGACACCCTGCGAGCCTCAAATTCTCAAAGTCCCGGAGCTAAACCCTTGCCAGGAGCCCGAAGTTCCGGTTTAGGGTTTAGGGTTTAGGGTTTAGGCCGAAGTGCCCTCTAATGGAGCCCTCATGGTCGTTAAAAGTGGGTATTTAGGCTATGTTGCAGGGTAGTCGGGGGGCTCAGGTGAACCTTAAACCCTAAATCCTGAAAGCCGTGCTATCCTAAGCCCTAAACCAACAAAATCCCCTGAACCTTAACAACCCAAGCCTCACACCCTGGAAGCCGTGCTTGAAGCAGGAGTCAGCGAGGCCTGCATGTACAGCAAGGCCTGAGATGAACACCAAAATGTCTTCTGGGGGCCAAAGGTTTGGGTTTCGGACTTTGGGTTTTGGTTTAGGATTTATTGCGACGTAAACGCAGCATAGTATCGATGTAAGGGATTAGGGTTTAGGGTTTTGGGTTTAGGGTCTAGGGTTTAAGATTTGCGATGCTACCAAAACGGTCATCATCAGAGGATGCTGGCTTCTAGAGCTCACGTGTGCCAACCTTCGCGAGATGGAGCGGATACATTCCCCGTAGCCTCGGAAACGACGAGACGACCTGAGTCTTCGACAAGCAGTAGCCCGATGTGGGGGTTTCCGAAAATAGGGGACCCCAATATAGCATCCTAAATAGTAGGATCCTTGTTATAAAGACCCCAAAATAAGGTACCCCTTATTTCGAAAACTCCCATGTAGCATGATCGGCTCTGACTCGTGTGGCAAGTGCCAGGTGTCAGGTCCCCCAGCGATAGGGTTGATGATATAGATCCTGCCTTACCTTCAGGACCCTAACCTATAAGAGTTATGGTATATTCCTTACTAGGGGTAATCCTTAAGCCTTAAACCCGAAAGCTTAGAGCTTCGCCCTCAACCCTAAACAGGAAGCCCCGAAGCTGTCGAAGCCTTCAAAGCCAGGATTTGTAGGGTTTTCGCATTCCCGACAGGCGGCCTTCGTGTCTCTCACCCGCGTGGGTGCCGCGACGCTGAAGATGTTGCGGAGGTCGAGCTAAACCCTAGCATAAGCTACCATGACCTACTTTTGCTGGCTCTGATCATATGTATATATATATATATATATTTATGCATATATATACATATATATATATATATATGTGTCTTTTTGTGTATATTATATATACATACATATATATATATATATATAGATGGGCCCTGAACTATACTCAGACCCTAGAATCTCCACCTGTTGGTACTGCCGAGATTTGTAGTTCTGTTTCCATAAGAAGAAGCTAACCTAACATGGTTCTGTTCCCATAAGAAGAAACTGACCTACCAAAAAACATATACCCCATGTTGAGGTCTAGGTGGAGACCCCCAAACATACGCTAAATAGCCGAAAGGATGCAGTAGACTTAGACCAGCCGAAATCGTCAGAGGTCTGTCGGAGTGATGACAGCAGAGGGCTCCGGGGTTCAGATTTCAACCGCCCAGTTGGAAGTTTCCAGTCCTTTCCCTTGTAGCTAGGGTTCGAGGTCTAGAGTTGCATCCTTGCAGCGGCTGCTTCCTGGGATTATTCCAGTCATAATATTCAGGCTTTTGTGGGGGGAGTCCTGTAGGCGGGTTTAACTGGGGGTTTCCGCAACGTTTCCTTATGAGGCTGCCTGCAGGGCTCTACAGAGGCCTTTGGTTTTCGGGTTTAGGGTTTAGGGTTTCGGCTTTAGGGTTCAAGGTTCAGGGTTTGCAGAATTCGAGACCATAAATGGCGCAAATGCGACCCTGGACGGGTCCCAACATACCCGACGGACATCATAGTAGTAGTAGTAGTAGTAGTAGTAGTAGTAGTAGTAGTAGAAGTAGCAGTAGAAGTAGTAGAAGTAGAAGAAGAAGAAGTAGTAGTAGTCGTAGTAGTAGTCGTTGTCGT